ATATTTTTATTCTTCAGCTCTACTTTCAGTGGTTACCTTAAAAGCTTTTTACTACATACCATACCGCCCTGTAATTGTGAAGATTTCAAACAACTGATATGTAACTTTCTATTACATTAGAACATATTAGCAGTAGAAAAAATATACGTTCATTTGTTTTTTATTTAAATTACAAGATTACAAAAATGAGAAATTTTTTAACAACATCCTGTATGTTAAAAATTAGTCATGTGATTTAAGTGGGCCCATGAGGTCAAGTACCTACTACAATCCAAAATGTATTCAAAAGTACCTATTGCTGATCTACTGTTTTTTATGTTTTTTGTAAAAATATGTACAAAATTTCACTCCTAAAAAAAATTATATTCTCAACTCTATTAATAATGACGCGCAGCGTTTCACATAATATTTAGAATGGATTACCGTTATTAAATCAAATGTCGAAAATTACCGCCAGTCACCTCTTGACAATCTATCAAGGCGATCTTTGAATTCTGACATTCTGTATGAACTCAGACCTCAAGTATATTTTTTGAATTTCTTCGGCTATCCTATTTTTCATAGGTATCTTCAATATTATTGCCTGGTCGATTAACAAACATTAAAAAAAAACCATTAAAAGTAATCGAGGGTGTCAAATCTGGAGACCGAGCAAACCATTCAATAGTTCCATGTCTTCTATTCGAACTGCATTTCATTTTTTTTTAAGTAAAAGTGCTCGATAGGAATTTATTCTCGTGTGAAACAAAAATTATGTTTTGCAGACATATTAGACTCCGATCCGAATCCCGCTTTGGTAGTCCGCTGGTGACGAGACGCCACTGATCGGTTGGCGATTCAACTTTTTGTTATCGAAAAGTTGAAGTTCGAACAGGAGTCGCTTCTTAAAAACCGGAATATGAGGTGATCTGGGATCGAGAGACAGCGATCCAAATTTGTCAAAGAACCAATTTTGTATAAACTCGTGGACGGCCCACATTGCTTGTTGATAATTAACATTATGCACGCAAAATAATTATTACTAGTCTTTCAAAGGTTTATTGGCCGTACGGTGAGAATACATTTATGTATATACAGGATGTTGCATAACGAATGGCCAAAATTTTACACATAGGTTCAGGACATTAAAATATTAATATTTTGCTGAGGGGTAAAGTGCAGGCAAAATGTTCTACTAAAGTGATAGAAATTCCCAGAGCCGACGAGAGGGGGGCTGGGGGGGACAAATTCCCGGGGCCCGGGCGCAAAGAGGGCCCGGCAGCTTTAGCCGAGGACGATTGTTTAAAAGTTCGCCACAAAAGGAAGGACCTGGTTTATAAAAAATAGAAGGTGGGGACTTTTTTTTATAGATTTTACTAAGAAAGGATCTGATTTTGCTTGCTTTTTTTTGCAATGCAACATAGAAAGGACTTGAATTTTTATACAATGTCCTCGGGCCCCACCAGGCTCTCGGCGGCCCTGGAAATTAAATTTTGCACAGGTATTCTTATTTCAGTTGCGCTTTGTTGTTGTTTAGAAGCGTAAACTTTATTAAGGTGCATCTACACGAATACAAGTCACTTAAAAAAAAAAAAGTTACGTTTTACATTTAAAAGACAACTAATGGACTTAAGGTATTTCCGAGACTGTTCTTCTATTTTACTATCTAATTTTAGCAATTTCTTTAAACTTATCTCTCAATTCCTCGACAATTCGCAGAATTCCCCTAGAAACAGTACTAAAATATTTTAAGATGCCACAATATTTTTTGTTGAAAATAATTTAAAACTTACACCGTTCTTGTAAAGTAAATTTCGAGATTTTTAAAAATATGTCGGTATTATGCTGCGAAAAAAATGAAAATAAAAGTTCTGAAAAGTGATTGGTGAAAGAATTTATTGGCCTATGATTCATAGTTTTTATTTTGTTTCGGCGTACGAGCGCCGCAAAGTGTAATTCAACACGCGTTTTGGCCAAAAAACTCATTTCCACACCACCTTGAGGAAAAGTTAGTGGCGTTTTTTTTTTAAATCGTGGTATCCCCAGTAGGCCTAATCAACTATTCCAAAATTTAGCGCATTCTCCTTTGCTTCGCTGTTCTTGATGGACCAGGTGTTGCGAGTCCATTGTCTTTAGTACCGATTGAAACGTCACCGACCGAAATTTTTTTCAACATTATCCGTGATGGGATGCATGCTTCACAACATCAGCATATAAAAGTAAATTTAATATTGCGTCGCTTCCATCAATGTAAGCAGCGTTCCGAATCTATCATCAGCTTCAGCAGCGGTATGGGAATGAACAAAATGCAGAGCAATAGGGATGTAAAAGAAACAAGAACGGGTTAATTCATGTCACCACACTTGAGCCCTAGCTCCGGAAAGCTTGTTAAAACTTATTTCTTACAAATGCAAAAAGAAATTACAGAAAGCTTGTGGATGAAGAAAGGCTGGGTTAAAGTCCTCCGTCATATGCACGAATTGTAACTATAACTTGCAAGTTCCATCACAAGCTAGCGACGAAGAGGAGCAAACGTATGATGTAATCGAGGACGAAGAGGATTGAAATGAAACTGATAATCCCATAGCGGATGATGTGGAAGAAATTTCGGTATGTTAAGTTTCGATCAGATAAGACAATAAACTCGCAACACCTGGTCCATCAAGAACAGCAAAGCGAAGAAGAATGCGCTAAATTTTGGAATAATGAGTTGCATGTGTATTAGCGCCGTTTACTCTACATCTCGTACGCCAAAACTTTGTTTCTTTTTGTATATAAATGTTTTTATTGAAAAATGAGTAGAAAAGGAATTATTGTCAAAAAACTGATTTTAGGGCCATTTTTCCAATATGGCGGCGCGAGTGGCAAAGATACGAGGTGGCAAAGTTGAAATTAAGGAGCACATCGAAATCTATAAAATACCCATTTTCAAAAATCCCGGAAAACTTTCCTGATGAAACTACCGAATGACTGTACTAATATGATGTTATTTGATTATTGAGTTTTCCCGGTTTGGCTATCATTATTTCTTCAGCAGTTATCCATAGTAATGTAACATGTTGAAGCCGTTTATTTTTTGGTCAGTTTTACTAAACCTTTTCGTGGTAATTTCTTTAGTATCTCTCATGTAAAGATTATTTTTTATTTTCTTTCTCCTTGGTAAGGGTGGAAGATGCGTTCTAAATAGTTGGCGAAAACATTAACTTTTCCTTTCCAACTTCTTGTCCATATCCCGTTTTCTGTTCGTATGTGTTGGATTGGTTTATTTTTTTGACAGATTTTCATAATGAGTAATCAGTGATTTGGTTATATCTGAGCTCCTCAGGTATTTGTTGGTTGACTCAATTTTTATATTTTTCTATCTCTCTTCGTGGCTGTTGTACAAGTATATTTAATTTGTTTTTGTTCTTTTCAGTTATCATTCTTTACCACTCCTTTCGAGTCTTTCTTTTTTTTTGTATTATATCCCTTATTTCTTTAGGGTTAATAATACCTATAGTGTCCATTCGCATTATTGGTGTATTATCCCATGCAGCTTATTGGATATTAACCATAAATAATTTATACAAGTGTTGAACGATATTTTTCGTTACAACTCTTTGAAAAATATGAAAAACAATATATTTAGTTATTAAAAGGAGAAAAAATTATAATTTATTTTTTTGATAATAAGTTAGGTTTAGACGTAATTTTGGTTAAACCCTGGTGTCTTCTTTTGATTCACGTATCTAAAGGTTAAACATTAACAAACTCTTTTATTTCTTTCAGAATATTTTTTTTTTCAATTCTACACGTAATTTAGAAACTTTATTCACTAGTACAAAAAAATTAAAATAATTTAGTATGTTTTAATACAAGAAAGCCCGCTTAAAAAAAAGAGCCAAATTGCACAATTTTATAAGAAACCCCCCTGTTAAATGGTTGGTAGAACACTAAGTTAATAATTTGGAACATCATTACGTAACACCCTGTATATAACATTTTTAAATCTTTTCAAAAGAGGCCTTACTTTTAAATAAATATAATAGTTTTTGCAATTACCTGTATATGTTTTGCAAATATATGAATTTGATAATAATTGTATGTTTCTGACGGCGTACTCTGTGCTGAGCCTTCCAACTTCTATCAATAATCAACTGTTTTAAATTAAATTATAAAAAATATTTATGCAGCCAACTTAAACAGACAATAGGTCTCTGGAACTGTTTATAAATAAACAATAATAATTGTACTCGCGTATATTTTCTGTAAACTGTTTGTATTTTTTCCCAATGATCATAATCATTTGAAATAAATAAATAAATAAATAAATAAATAAATAAATAAATAAATAAATAAATAAATAAATACCTAATAAATTTTCTAAAAAAGAATTCATATAAAAATACTGCAATCTAACCAATTTAAATATTTCAAAATAATTTTAAAATTCTAATTGCTCCTTCTAACTTTGCAAAAAATAGGGGACACCCGGGTTTGAACCGGGGACCTCTCGATCTGCAGTCGAATGCTCTACCACTGAGCTATATCCCCTTTTATAATTAATTAAAACAATCTTAACAAATAATAAACATTAAACTTTGTCATAAAATAAAAAAAAAAATAGGGGACACCCGGGTTTGAACCGGGGACCTCTCGATCTGCAGTCGAATGCTCTACCACTGAGCTATATCCCCGATGAAATTAAATTTCAAAAATACGCATAAAGTACTCCGTGTAGTATAAATTATTTGTGTAGGCAACACTTTATACACAGTCCGATTTCATCTTTACATTGCAAACCAGACCCAACTAGTACGTATGCAATACTTAATACACCGACTCGTTAAATTGGTTGTGTGAATTTATCTGCTAAACAAGTTGCCTATATTCAAACAGGTATTAAATTGGTTACCTATTGAATGATTAATACATTTATTATTAAATGGTTATTTTGTATTTCAGGAATAAAATTCAAGTTACCAGACTTGAATAAAATATATTTTTGTTTATAATACATATTTAAGACAAAAATTACTTACTTGTCTGTGGTAGTACGGGATTTTTCATTAGCTTTTTTGATCGGTGTGGATTTTACAGACCGCACTCTGGATGATTCCTGAAAACAAAAGAATTATATAAAATTTTGTAAATAAATATTTTAAAATATTTAGTCAATCAAAATTATGATACCTAGTCAATAATAGTTAATTTATGTTATAAGGTTGAAAAGTTGAGTTTTCTGGGATACTACGAGGATACTCTTAGGGAGTCCGAAATAACACTTTTCGTCCCTGTTTCGTACATAATTTTTGATTGGAATGTGCTCATAGATATTGAAAAATATAGAAAATTAAATGCGAAATAATAAAACACCCAATTTTTCTTATAACTGAGATGGCGCTGATCTAGGTATATTCTTGATAACCATTGAACAATTGCTGTAATGTCCAGTATGCTTATGTCAAATCATTTTAATTCTAGTTTATTTCGTCTTTCTCTAATTTTTTTTTTTTTTTGGTCTAGGTAGTAAAAGTGTTCTGCACCAATACATTTGAAATAAATGTATAAAGTTCCAATTTCTGTGCGAAAAAAATTATTAACTTTATCCAACCAGACAAAACAAAATAACTACCCAATTATTTAAAGTTATTATTAGAATTTAGGTGCTTAATTCTGATTAAAAAATATGTCATCATTATTACGTACATATTGTGTAGGATAGACGGCGTTTGTATTTGACATAGATAAAAACCATAAAGCTGATAGAAGTGTTTACACGACCGGCAGATATGGGAACAATTAATTATTGAACAAAGTACCTCATTAAAAATGTGTCGTTGAATGAACTCTGAATGTGATCTGTATATATTTTTGTTTTTAAACTTCCTTCATACCATACCTATTTTTTAAACGAAATTTATTTATTTAATTTTATTTATTTATTTAAATACATTTTATTTATCATAATTATAACCCCTACAGTTAGGCAATTCATTAATCTTTTCGCTATTTAATACACTGAACAAATAATAAATACTATGTCTCGGTGATGGGAGCTGTCATGTGACCTATGAAATTCAAAGTAAAGTTGCTTATCGGAATTTTTTTGCTAGTAATGAAATATTATACTTCTAGAGGTCAATAACAATAAAATTGCATAGCATTTTCTGTCGTCCGGTTTTGCTACTTCCGCTGTAGGAATTAGGAATATAGCTTAACCACGGTTTTTCTGATTCTAAGATGGTATTGCAAGCATTTTTTATTCAGTTGATTTATTGCTTTAACCATAAATTTAACTATTTTGATATTTTTTTTTTAAACCGTGCGTGAATAAAAGACTCAACGAGATAGAACTGAATAAAAAATGCTTACAAGGACAATACTGAGAGCCATACAAACATTTTGAGAGCAATAAACCACTTTTCAAATTTTGGTTCCGATTTTCGTCAGGTTACATTTTTTTGCATATCAACCCTTTCACAGACACAAAAAAATAATCATCTTAGATTAAGAAAAAATATGTTTAAGCTATATTCCGAATTTCGTTGAAAATGTAAATATCCAGTTACGTGGCCGAAATCCCTACACCGGAAGTAGCAAAACCGGGTGATAGAAAATGCTTGTAAAGAGATTTTTTTTTGTTATTGACGTCTAGAAGCATATATTATATTTAAGAAGGTGATAGATGTGTACACACTGGGTTATTAAGAAATAAAACTAGTAGTAGTATTTAAAGTTCGCAGGCTAGGATTATTATTATTATTATTAATAAATTCCAGTCGTTTTATCTGAGAGGAAGTAATACAAAGTTCCTCACAGTCGTATGGAATTTTCTCCAGGTTACTGCGTAACGGCCTCCTGTACCAGCTAAAATTAACGAAAATGGGTTTGTGTTAGTTCAAACAGAACCGCCAATTCCAGTTCTCAAATACAGTTGACGAATTAATTTTTCAAGAATACGTCGCCATTGTATAAAGACATAATCAACGTATTGAGCTGAGTGTAATTTACTGATTCTGAATTAGATCGTCAAAGAACCAAAACAAAACATTTGATTTGTAATAGTTCGCCCATATTTTAGCTCGAGAAGAGCTGCTAGATATGCCAGGACAGACTTTCTAACAAAAATGAACTTAAATTTAGGTTTGAATCGTCGAAAATAGTTTTAAAACCTGGTAGGCGCGTTAAAGGACGACATATTCGCTGACGTAGGAAATTTTTTGGTTTTTTGATGTATGGGATTAATTTAAAACAGCAAAAATAATGTTCAATGTTTTGATCCACTTCTCTCTTGTACTTGATAAGTTATAATAAAATTCTTGACAATTATAATCTTTTGTAAAGTCCTGATGATGGCCTTAAGCCGAATGTGCTAGACTTATTTTAATAAAACGACTGGAATAACAAAAAAACGAAAAAATCCGTCGATACTTTACTACTTTACGTTGAATTTTTTTATTAACCCCCTCTCATGTACCTAACTACAAATAAGACGTGTCACTTTTTGTTGTCAGATGTGGGACTATTTATTAGGTTGTGAATTGTGAAGCATTTAATTTTGTAAAAATCAGGCACTAGGTGAGAGTATCTGTATGTGCTGAAAATTAATTTTATTTTAACGCAGTCATACATTTATATATTAGAGAAAAACTATATACGAGTAAACATATAAAAATAGAATGTGTACGAAGAACAAAAACTATTAATTACATTAATTACCAATAAATCCGTTATTCTAGGAATGTTCTGTTGAGATTTTCATTATTTTGGAAATTTATACTTAGCTAGTTTTGCTAATTTTTTTTTGTTTAACAATTTAATATTAAGAGGTAGAGTGTTAGAAATTTGGGGCTAGATACTTTACACAGTTTTTAAAATTAAAAAATTCACTATTTGGTTATGGTACTTTAATACACATTTTAGTTGCGGTTCTAGTATTATGTTTAGATTATATAATAATATGGTGGGATGCAATCTCTCTTTATAGACAGGGGCGTAGTGACCAGATCACAGCAGTTACACTAGTTACAGTTTATATTTTTATATGTATGTATAAAAACAAGTATTAAAAGTAATTTAAAAAAACCGACTTTAAAATCGTGCAGATGCCGTCACCAAATCTTAACCAAATTTATATGAGACCACCCCTGAGGTACCCCCTTACTAACAGAAAAAGAATCGTAGAAATCGGACAAGATGGTAAAGAATTGTCGCTAAACATACTTAAGGACAGCGTCTCCTAGGAATTTCTGAACAAAATTATGTCAGTTTAGATTCAATCAAGGAGGTGCTGTTACCTACCGACTAGAGATTGAATTAGTGCAAATTATTACAGAAATCTTAAGTAACTATGAATATCGACCGACTAGCTATTAGGGGATATTGTATTATATTGTATTATAAACCGGTTTTTAGTAGACTGAGTTCGAAGGATCATAATAATAGTCCTGAACATAAAATCTATTTTTCAATAATTGCTGGGATTTTACCAAATAAAAAAAATTATTTCGTGATTGTGAAAACGGTCCAATCGTTTTATATGCCATTTATAATATTATAAAAATGTTAACTCTAGGACTCATTTTGGAGTATGAGCATACTTTATTTCAATACTTTTATTGTACTGTTTCATAAAGTATTACCTACCTATTACATTTTATTTTTATCGAAAATTGACTTTGTTTCCTGGACCAAAGTAAAGAATGTAGCAGATGGTAACAACAAAAACGATATCTTGCCTCACATTAAATATAAATATTTCCTAAAACAAATAATTTGGTTTATATACGGGTAGTAATACGAGGGATGTTTATAATTTCAAGTCACGAATATAGAGTCGTTTCAAAATATATTGCCACAATAATTGCGTCACATTGAGTCGGAGTGGGACGCTTGACGTGTCGCAATTCGCAATATATTTTAAAACTATTCTACCTAATTAATAAATTGTGATTTTGAAGTATCGAATGAAAACTATATTCTCATTGGTTTAAGATGGAAGTTTTTGTCATTTGAATGTTCAAGAATATTAATTGTGATTAATTGGTTAAATACCGAAGTTATCTGTTATCTGATGTTGGTACTAACCTAATGTTTTTGGGTAATTTTGACTGTCATTTCCTGGAATTTCCAGGCCCGCATAAATATTTATCCTATTAAAGTACAAAAACCCTACAATAGATATTATGAGTAGGTATTTAACATTCATTTATCTTATCTTAGGTAGTTATTTCCTAGAAACATGTCCCTGATTGTCAATAACACATTACCGTATATCTGTGCCAATATGACGTCACGACTTTTAATATACTTAATGAAGGCTGGGGGAAGGAGTTAAGAGTCTATAAATTTGCAAACAAGCTTACGGGTATTTAGTTTTCAAAATTACATCACACGTTTCTGAAGTGTTTTATTGTGCTGTTTGTTTTTAATAAGTGTTATTTTCTTTAATAGAAAATTGATTTATTTGTGCCAAGTGTCCTAGTGAGTTTCATTGTACATTTTAATCAGTTTTATTTTTGGATAAATTGACATCGACTTCCTGCATTAAAGGTAGGTAGTATTTTTTTTCTATCACTCTCGAGTTCGTCATTGAATAAAAAAATTAAACGCTATAATTTTAACATTCAAATATTTGCAATTAAAAAATAATATTACGTATTAAATTTGACAATAAAAAAACTTGTTATTTAATAATAATGTTTCATTATTCTGAATATATTTTTTCTACGATCAATATCCAAAGTAGGTAGGCTTTTGTACATTAAAATCTAAATAAAAAGTTGACGTTTTCTGCGAATTGTCATAATTTGACATTATTGGCGCACATTACCTAATATTCAAACCCATTTCCATGCTTAAAAATAGAAGATGGTGACATTCATTTAAAAGAAAACCATAACTACTTTTACCAGGTGAAAAATTTCAATATGTTAAAATAATTCATGATTTTTAAGAAATGTGCTAGAAATGATACTACAATATTAATATTCTTTTTATGTTTGATTTTCTAATAATGATTTTATATACTTTTAGATTCAAGGACAGCTAGGTATAGCTCAAAGAAAATTGTGCTACTTTGTAGTATATACTGGAGATGAAAATCCAATATTTGTTGAAAAAATTCATATTCAACCCATTTTTTTTTAAAATATGGTTGAAAAATTAGAAAAATTTTACTCGGAATATATGGCACCTGAGATAATTTTAAATAGAAGAAGACGAGGATTAAAATGTCTGGATACCCCATACAATGAAACTTAAAGTGCAAAGATTAGCAAATTTATAAAAATAATAATTTAATGGACTTTAATGATACAAGTACTTGAAATAATGGTTTTTTTTGCGCAGAAGCATTTTCATACGTAATTTGCAATTGGTAATCACTAATCACAGATGGAAAAGTATATACGTCAACGATATGTTCTCTTATTTTTGATTTATTTTAACAGGTATAATATATGGTATGTTACTTATAGTATAGATTTTTTTATTTCTCGACCTAATTTATTTGTTACGTCTTCAGCAATTGTCGCTTTCAGTTGACATACTCAAACGAAATTGATAAAAAGTGTTTTTCGCATTTTATTTTGACTGTTTCTCTTTCTTTCGAATAGAAACTGAGCTTTGTAAACATAAAATGACGGATATGTCAAACTAAAACTGACGGTAAAATGAAACATTGAGTATCGTTAAATGCAACTTTTGAACTAGTTTCAAAAATAGCATTAAAATGATATTATCATTCACAATGTACTAATTTCCTATACTTTTAGTTGATAAATAACCGATAATCATACATCATATAACAAATAGGCGCGTGTCAAAAGGTCACCGGCGAAAAAAGAGTGCCGATGAAAAAAGGTCGTTTCCAATTGTATCATATAAACAGTAACAGAGGCAGTATTATCATCTCGTATATCCCCCGTAAACACACATAATATAAAGGGAAATAATCAAATACCAGTCAAAATATTATCGATCGGAGCACCATCTTTATTACATTACATGAAGTAATTATTGATTTTTCGGGGTTGATTTAGAGTTAAATTAGACGCCATTTTTGGTCCAAATTCGTTTTGACATGTTTTTTCAAAGAAAGTGACTTATAAATTTCAAATCTACACGTTTTGAAAAATATACAATATTTAAATATTCTGAGTGTACCAAATTCCAAGTAAAGGTTGAACTTAGGTCGTATTACATTTTTTTTTTTTATTATTTGTTTGACATCGAGGTTAAAATAATTCTACACGGCACCTTTGAGATGAAATAAAAGGGGGTTATTTTACATGATTGGTTTTTATTGAAAATAATAAATTTATTAATTTTCAATAGTAAGGTGACCTAAGTTAGACCTTTATTCTTAATTTGGCCAAAAATTAGATTTTTAAACACTATATATTCGGAAAACTGTCGATTTAACTTTTGGTCTACACATACACTTTTAGTACACAGGGATACCCCGTCCTTAACAATGACGAGTTTGAGGATTTTTCTCATAGACTCACTCCATTATTAGATTTTGACCAAATTTATATAGGACCACCCCTGAGGTGTCCCCTCACTAACAAAAAAAGAATCATCGAAATTGGATAAGGTGGTAAAGAATTACCGCTAAACATTAAAAATGAAGAATTTGAGAATGTTCTAATAGACCCCATTATTAGATGTTGACCAAATTCATATGGGACCACCCCTGAAGTACCCCCTTTCTAACAACAAAAGAATAATTGAAATCGGACACCGTGTTAAAGAATAATCGCTGAACATACATAAAAAAAATATTACGACGGATTAAGAAGCTCCTCCTTTTTTGAAGTCGGTTAAAAACAGGCCAAGTGCGAGTCGGACTTGCGTATAAAAGAGTTCCGCATCATCGTACAAGATTTAATACTATGTACCTAGGTACTTTTTAAATACTTTATTAAGATCGAGCAAAAAAACCAAAAAACAGACGTTTCCACTAGGGGGTCCCCTTTAATTTTTTAATTTATTTTTATTATTTGTTGTTATAGCGGCAGTGATACACATTCTGTGAATATTTCAACTGTCTACCTAATACGGATCATGAGATACAGTCCTCTGGCAGACAGACGGACGGACAGCGGAGGCTTAGTAATAGGGCCCCGTTGGTTATCCTTCGGGTACGGAACCCTAAAAAAACAGTTCTTATAATCGTAGTTTTTAAATACTTATAACAATTAATTGCACATCTATATTTTCATATTACAGCGTTTGGCAATCGATAGGAGTGAAGGTGTACGAGATTGTTTCAAAATTAAAAATAATCAAAAATTATTTAAGAAACACCATGAGTCAACAAAGCTTATCTACTTAGGCAATTATTTATATTGAAAATGAGGTTTCCCGAACACTAGATATTGTTAATATTGTGTCCACTTTTAAAAATTCCAAAACACAGAAAAAGTTTTACTCGCACTTTCAGCTTGGTTATCAGCTTTGTATGTTTTGTTTCATTTGCCAATATATTGTATGAATTTGGTTTTAATATTTTATTTTTCTTTTTCTTATAGTTACGTACTTTTTAATATTTTGTCCCAATATTGTAATATATTAGTAATGTTTTTATCTTAGTCGTATTACAAAAATTTTCTATGTAGCAGGCAGCGCTGATAGTAAGGGTAGGGTTCCGGAAAAATTTTATTACCCCCTTATTTATAAAGGGTGTAACAATAGGATGTACAGTAAATTTAACCACAGTTTGTGTGGTCAAGATAAGTCGATTTAGGCTAACCTGCTTATATAAAAAATGGATAGTAAAAAAGTTATAGGATATTAAAGTGATTTTGTGCTAAAACGGCTTAAAGTATTTTTATAAAAATGTACATGGGATGTTAGTACACAGTGACCAAAATGATGATTGGTGTTTAAAATTGTTTTAATTCTATAGGTTTTTAGAAGAGTTTCGCACCCTTTTGACCTTCCTACTTTTTAAGACAATGAAATTCAGTTAAAAACAGGACGCCATTGAAATCCTATATCTGTTTTGAACATTTTAGTATTTGTTTGTGACAGCCTTAGTTACTGAGTTATAGGCCCCAGAAGGAACATCATAGTGAAAAATGCTGACAATGAAATTTTACAATTTTATAGATGATCGATAATGCAAGGGAATATTGTAAATGAAGTTGTACTATGGACGAGAGGTTGTTGATTTTAGTAATGTCATTAAAAATATAAATATATTACTAAATGAGTGACGAAAATAAAATGTTCGACAAGTAAAACAATACAAACTTAACAGTCGGAGTGGACAAGGAAAGCAGATAACGAGAGTAACGAAGAAGACATAACACACATTTTTTTGTAATATTTTTTGGGTTCATAATAATAATTTCTCCAAAACTTTTAGAAAGCCCGAACCACCTCAATTTGATATTAAATCTAGACTGAAAAAATTAGGCATAGCTTTTCAAACTTTTAGGGGTAGTAGGAGACAAAAATAAAACGTTTCTGCTTAATAAACATACGTTGCCGATGATAGACTTGTACACACGCTAGTACGGGTAGGTCCAAAAGGTATTCAAAAGATATCAACAAACTGTGAACATTTCTTTTTCTTTGAAATCAGTTTAATCAGTTAAAACACATTGATTATCGCATGTATATCGGAAAAGAAGCTTTCTGGACATATGTTACTTAAACAAAAAATGTTTATTTTGATGTCTCCTACAAGTTTGTAGGGTTATTAACAGGACACTCTGTATAAATTGCAACTATAAATAGGTCCTATAAAATACTAGATTGAGATAGATCATGATTATTTGCTACTCTTGATGATAATGCTGTTATTAAGTTTATTCCTCAATCATTCAAACATTCTGGCTTTAATTCTATAACATATGTCATTTATTATCTCTACAAGCTCTTCTTAAAACTAAGAAGTCATTTAAAGTTAATAAAGACAAGCGGTTTTCCTTTCTTATCTTTAATGTTTAATATTTATATTGTAGCTGTTATTTTCTGATTTACACATAAAATATTTAAACAACACATTTTCTATCTAAAAATTTTCCTCGCGAGAATATTGACTAAAATTTAATAGGAATTTAAATGATTTAGCGTTAGCTGGAACAACTATATTGAAAAAACAAATTATAAAGAAATAAAAAAATGAGGTCATGTTTTTTGGTTGCATACAAACAAACCGAAATTCTATACATATCTATCATTATTTCCTACCTTCTTTTGAAATACGTCATCCCAGCCCATTTTAAATGTATAATTGAACACTTTCGGTAATTTTTAATCGAAAATTATCGCGGAAAAACGTCAATTAACTAGAGAAAACTTGAACATTTAGCGGAAAATATAACTATAAATGAACTCTATCTACACCAGCGGTAGCATCATAATTTTCGTTTTATCTTATCTATGTTTATCTTGACAAATAGTGTTGCATGTTATCTTCGAAAAATGTTCACCTGACATACAGGGTGGGCCAACGAAAACTTGACACCCCAATTTAAAATGAAAATCGGGAAAAAAGCTCGAACCCGTCGATTTTTGATTCGAGGAGGAACAACTTGTTTGGTTTTTTCATCCATGTAACTTAAACCCTCTAACAGGGGGAAGCACAACCCCCTGTTTTTGAACAGAGGTGAGGGATGTTGCAATACCTCATTTTGAAGATCTCATCGATTACTATCTGACCCCAAAATTTCGCGTCAAAATTTTTATCGATAACAGCTAAAACAGTGAAAGAGATATTATGGAAAAAAATGTCTACTCAATAAATAAAAAGAATACTTACTTCTGTGATTAGTTTATTAAATGCTGGAAATGGCCACCATTCACTTCTATGCAGTAAAATAAGTTTTGTTCAAAACGTTTCCGTACATTACGCAACATGTCGGGTGTAATTTGACATTAATTAATTATATGATTTCGCAAATCATCCAGTGATTCGCACTGGGTAGCGTAAATCTTAGATTTTAGATAACCCCTTAGAAAAAAGTCCAGTGGATGAATTCACTGATCAGAGACATTTTTTTTCAGGATCACTTTCGTTAAATAAAGTCGCTTCGCTTGTTATTTCTAATTCCACCCTTTCCCCAACGGAATATACCATTTTAATTCTACTAAAAAAATATCAATGGAGTAGACACGATGGCAACGTTCTTAAGAATTTACGATGAACTGAGGTAAATCGAGTAAATGGTGCATCCATAAAATAAAAAATAAATACTTCTCAAATACCAGTCTGATAAGAATAATTATCCTTAAGGTAAACAAATAGTTATTTGTGTAACTAGTGCAAAAAGTGTATCTTTGTTGCACGAAGCATGAAGTTTGCAGTTTGAGACGAAGTCGAAAGCTGCAATCATGCTGAGTGCAACAAATATGCTTTTTGCACGTGTTGCACACAATATTTTTTCTACGATCGAAATAAAATATACTCTATATCAAATTTTATTAGAATATTTTACAAAAGGTACAACAAAAATCTCTTATTTTACTTTTTTGAGTTTATTTCAATTTTAATGTCGCAGTTATTGCAGTTTACTATGTTTAGTGACGGAAAAACTTCATTTCCAGCAATATTTTGAATTTTGGTTTCATGTTTGACTGGCGCTTCATTTGAAACACCTCTTTTTCGTATTGTGAAGCTTCCGGTGCTGGTACTTGGTTGACCTTCAAGAATTTGAGCAGCTGTTTCTGTTTTTTTAGAAATAGACTCCTCAATGTAGCCCTCAGCTACAGTTGAGGATTTCCACCCTCCGTGCCGTTTCAAAGTTAATATATCTGCGCCGGATTCTACTAGTAAGGTTGCAGAAGATCTGCGAAAGCAGTGTCCCGTGTATTCCATTGGGTTTTCAATATTTAAATATTTGGTAATATCACTTGGGATTTTGCCAAAAATGTTTACACCAACAGGTTGAACGGAATATTTTCCGTCATAGTATCTAATAAAAAATCTATTGTGGCTTGTTGATTGGGGACGGAGGGATGCATATTTGCGATACATTTCCACAAAATTAAAGGATCTAATTTGTCCGCTTATTACAAATGATCGAGGTTTGTTGGTCTTGCTGTCGGGAATTTTTACTGTTATGATAGAATTCATGTTATTTATATCATTTAAAGTAAGTTTCTGTAACTCATCCCTGCGGCATGCTCCTGCAATCCCAAATACTGCCACTATCTAAAAGAAACAAATACCTACGTATAAAGTTAAAAAAGATTATTTTTATATTTTACCTTCATCATTAAATATTTACTGTCGGGAGCTTCAACTAAAAACTTATCAAGTTGCTCTCTTGAAAAAACTTTGGACTTTTTGGGGCGATACCCTACCGACTTCTTCTTTAAAAAAGGAATTAATTTTTGAAAATTTCGAATTTCCACATTATTGTTTATTAAAAGTGTAGCCTTTAGCATTGAGTACTCTGACCACAAAGTCGATGGCTTCAGTATTTCCGACTTTTCTTTTAAATATGCAAGTACTACGTTTTCTGTAATATTTCCAACAGATTTAGTCTCACACGATTCTGTGAACCGTTTATAACATACTTCATAAATTTTTTTTGATTTATTGGGTAGTAAATCTGCCGTTGCTTCATTAGCTCTTTCCACTAAATCTGGAGGAGTACAGAAACTGATAGTTTCTTCCTCACTATCCGAACTGAACATTTTTAATAACTTTAATAACTTAATAAATGTTTAAACTATTAATTTGACACACACAGAGACAAATACGCAGATGTAACTGGATGTAACACGAAAATATTCTGACAGTTCAGGGTATTTACAAAATAATTCATAGGTAACTATGAAAATTAAGAAATATTTGCATTATTTAAAATTAGAGTAAAAAAATCTTTCAATTCTGTATTTTATTTCATTCCTATCTAACAAGCGAATTTGGTATTAACAAAAGGGTAGATAAAATATATATTTCTACTTTTTGAAATTTAATCACAAATTCCAGTAATAAAGTGACTGTATATATTTTGGTTTACGAAACGTTTCTTTAAAACCCATGATGGCTAAGATGTTTACCACCCACCGGAGAAGTTCGGGTTCGATTCCCGGCGCTGTGTTCTTTTTTTATTTTTTTCCAAAAAATTGACTGACAATTCGAAGTGTTTTTTGCACTAGTGCAAAAAATAAGTTACTTTTTTGCACTAGTGCACAAAAGTAAGCTACTTTTTGCACTAGTGCACAAAAGTAAGCTACTTTTTGCATTAGTGCAAAAAATTAAACTTTTGGCACAGTATATAGAGTAAAAAATAGTCACTTTTTGCACGATCGTAGAAAAACTAATTTACTGCATGGAAGTGAATGGTGACCATTTCCAGCATTTAATAAACTAATCACAGAAGTATTCTTTTTGTTTGTTATTAAGTAGACATTTTTTCCACATTGTCTCTTTCACTGTTTTAGCTGTTATCGATAAAAAATTTCTCGATGAGATCTTCAAAATGAGGTATTGCAACACCCTCACCCCTATTCAAAAACAGGGGGTTGTGCTTCCCCCTGTTAGAGGGTTGAAGTTACATGGATGAAAAAACCAAATAAGTTGTTCCCCCTCGAATTAAAAATGAACGGGTTCGAGATTTTTTTCCCGATTTTCGTTTTAAAGCCGGAAAATAGGGATGTAAAGTTTTCGTTGGCCCACCTTGTATACGACGTTATATTATTGCGATAGGTATAGTGTGATTCATTGTCCGTAGGGGTTTTACTTACTTTTAAACAAGGTTTATACATTAAAAATTCGAATGGGATAAAATTTGTCACCCACTGATGAATAGTTCCATTTGAAAAGAATGAAAAAAATTAATAAAATTCTCTGGAAATTTTGTGACATTAATTTTTGACAACATGTATAAAATAAAAAATAAAAATTTATTAAAAACAATCTTTAGATTAGATTAGGAGTTGGACGTTATTTGTCCTTGTCCACCGCGACCTTTTCAGATCTATTGTGGGACTCCGTTTGTTTTAGAGTATGTCGTCTAGCCTTTTTTTTATTAGACTTGCTATCTTTGATAGTGGCTCCCGCATATAGTTGCATGCATTTGGCTTTTCTTCGCCCAATGTTAGAAACCTTATTCCAGCCAGGCCTTCACATTGGCACAGGACGTGAAATTATGTTTCCTCTTCTTCTTCACAGAACCTGCACAAAGTTGCTTCTTCTGCTGGATTTATGACACTCATGTGCCTTTTGATGCGACAGTGTCCAGTAAGAAGGCCTACTGTTATCCTAACGATTTGACGCTTTTGATCCAGTAGGTCTTTCGTGAACTTGGCCGATGGTTCCTTGATGAACTGTTTGGCCTGTCTCAGTCTTGGATAGTTGTTCCACCATTCCTGAGACTCTTTTTGCATCCATTGTTTAATGGATGCTTTGCACAATGCTTTAGCAACTCCACAGAAGGGTTCGGGGCCTGTCATGGCCTTATCTGAGCCTTCTCGGGCTAATTTGTCGGCCTTTTCGTTGCCCTGATATCCCTCATGGCCTGGAACCCAGGCTAGGGTCGCCTTATTTTGTATACTTAGCTCTGCCAGGTCTTTTAGACAGTCTTTCACCAGTCGTGATTTGATTTCTGGTGAGAGAAGTGCCTTTAGAGCTGCTTTGGTTATCTGCCTATGCACAATTGCAGTTTTTTTATTTTTAGCATTAAATCCGAAAAAAACATGTTTATAGGAGGATACCTATGTAAATTCCATATTTGCGGAAAATAGTAGTTTGTGTAACAAGAGTGGATAGGATGACTATATTGCACGAAGAAGCTTGAGCACGACGTCATAGGTGGAAAAAGACAATTATCAATAGTTTATTTTTCATTTTTATGTAATATTGTTGTCCTAGAAAAGGGCTATTATTTATTTATTGATTTATTTATAACAGTAGCCACCCTTTAACCAATCACCCTGTACAAGACGTGACGCTAAATAAATACCCTTGTCGTCAGAATAGTAAATAATATGTCATTTTCTTTCCAGTAATCTATAATTTTTCGATACTGTCCCCGTAGCCCGAGAGAGTCGATAAAATGCAAATATGACCGGTTCATAAATTTTTCACAGTAATCGACGTACAATGTTATTACGATAGCAATTTCTAAGGCTTATCTGTCGAAAAGTACCGCTGCACGAGCCCATCAAATACGCGAAGAGAAAAAAAACATCCGAAAGAAAATAAAAAAGTCGTTAACCATCAGCTGAAGAAGAGTCGAATGTCTATGCGAGAAAGAACGGATCATGTA